GCTGCCAGTCTGCTCCAGGTCCAATTCAAGGTGTTGGTTATCACCTTTAAAGTCCTTTATGGCACAGGACCAGGTTATCTGAGGAGCTGTCTCGCCCCTATTATATCAGCCCGCCCCACTTGGTCCAGCAGAAGGGGCATGCTGCAGACCCCACCAGTCAAGGAATTTCATCTGGTGGGGTCTAGGAAGAGGGCCTTTTCTGCTGTGGCCCCCGCTCTGGAACAACCTGCCTCCTGAGGTGCGGTGTGCCCCCACTCTCATGGCCTTCAGGAAAGATGTGAAATCCTGGCTGTCCCAGAAGGCCTGGGGGCTGGATGGGGGCTTGTACCAGTGGTGGTGGCTTGTGGGATGATTGACTTCCCCCCCCCGTCATCTTGAATGTTTTTAGTATTTATGTATAGGGTTTGTTTTTTTACAATTGATTTTTAATCGATTAATTAATTTTAATTATTTATGGGGTATTTTTAATTGTTTATGGGGTTTTTATTTTAATTGTGAGCCGTCCAGAGTCACCTGTTGGGAGAGATGGGCAGCATACAAATTTAATAATAAAATGCTTGAGAAACAATATTTTGCACGGCTGTTACTCTATCACTGTGTATAAATGTATGTTTCTCTCAAGGTTCTTGAGAGGATTAACAGTATATTAGGTTTGATTTACAGGGATCTTACTGTCTCAGAACTGTAGGATGGGCAATTTGCCATCCCTTTTATTGGTAATGTGAGCATTGTTGAAAGTAATATATTGGTTGAAAAGTTTATTTCATTTATGTACATGTTTTGGGAGAGAACTATTAAAACCTTTTAATGTTCTTTTTTCTTTTATTATCTTTATAAGATATCTGTTTCTTAAAGAGATTAAAGAAATTAAAGAGATTAATCATTGAGATGTTTGAGATTATTGTAATCTTTTAGCTTCTTACTACAGACAATACCTGTAATTTTTAATTGGAGGTTGAACCAAAAGTACATTGGTCATTCTTATTGGTGACCTGTGGTAGATCTGGGATGAGGGAGTGCAATTATTCTGGTCCTGCTGGATTTCTCAGTTGCCTTCTGGATCATTGGGAATGGGGGAGAGCACTGTTTTGTTATGTTTTATTTCAGTTGGTAAGTAAGAGAGTTCAAGCCCTCAGTCCTTCATTGAGGAGCTATCCCCTCTCCCCATAAAGCCACTAGAAAAGGTCATCCACTGGCATGGGATGAGGTATCATCAGTATGCTGATGATATGCAGCTATACATCACTACCTTGGGCACAGCAGGTTTACAGCTTCATCTTGTGTGTCAGTTATCACCATTCCTGGATCAGGAGATGTTGTTGATGGTCATTCATGTTTTTGTGACCTCTGATTTGGGCTATTACAGTTTGCTTTAAATTGAGTTGTCTTTTGAAAACCATTTGGAAGCTATAGATACTCCAGAACACAGCAGCATAAGTAGTAATGATTTCAGCTTACTTTGCCCATATGACATCATTACTTTAAATGCTGTACTAGCTACCAGTTGTCTTTTGGGTAGGTTATAGTTATCACCTTTAAAGTCCTTCATGGCTTAGGACATAGGTATTTCTATGACTATCTTCTCTGAGTAGAGTTTGCCTGTCTGGTGAGATCTAGTAGGAAAGGCTTGCTGCAGGTCCCAACCCTTAGGGAACATCACCATTAAGGACTTTGAGATGAGCCTTCTCAGTGACAGCCTCCTTCCTCTGGAATAGCATGCCTCCAGATAAGGGCACTCCCATTGTTGCTAGTGTTTTGGAAGGCAGTTAAGACTAGGCTGTTCTAGAGGTTCTTTGGGGATAGTGGGAATGATTCATTTGCTCCTAAAGAGGTGGCTGTAGGTGATTGTGGTTATGATAAGGAAGTGTTTTGGTTCTATTATTATTGTATTGTAATCTTATTACTGTAATGTGGAATATAAGCAGAATGGAGTCAGAGCCACGCATAAGGTCTAGTAAATAAATAGACATCGGGAACATATCCTGGGGGGGCATTTTTTTTTTCTCTTCAATGAATACAGTAATTGGAACTGGCAGCTCTGTTGTTAAGCAAAGTGGTTGCTAAGTGGGAAATCATGCGACTGTGACTGTCCTTTCCTTTTTCCCCACTCCCCTGCCCTTTACAATGCTCACTCCAGCACTGGGATAATTAACAAGAAGGAAATTAGTGTTTGTATTTACATTCATTGGAGAGAAAGGGATTACAAGAGAGTAAGCAGGCACACAATGGGTAATGCACATTGAATGGTATGCAGTGGCTCCTGCAGCCCTGAGCATGCTACACAAACAGGTTGGTGTATTCCCCATTGTAATCTTGTAATCCTTCCTCTCTGTAATGGAAGACATGTGCAAGGAGGATACTGGAATGGAGCATCAAGGTTATCAGGAGGGAGGGGGAGCATTCCTGGAGAGGTTACAGAGCAAGCGCTTCCTCAGTCCACAGCAGGACCGTGAGAATAGGAAGAAGCTGAGATTGGCCCCTCCCTAGAGCCAACTAGTGGTATATCCACTAGTTGCTTTAGCATAGGTTTAGTCTGTCAAGATTCTGTCTATTAGGTGCAAGCTAATAGAGGAACTACACTGGACTGGACTGCCCCATAGTCGTTCTTGGGCTGGGCCTGACACTCTCTAATCTCTCCACTCTGCAAGAGGGGTTTAAAAAAAAAAAAAGTCTCTGTAGGCAATCTCTTCTGTGTCTGACCCGTTCCCCCCCTTGCAGGGCAGAGAGATTGGAGAGGATTAAAAGAGAATAAACAGCACATAATGGGGAATACACTGATCTGTTTGCATAGTGCACTTGGGGCTGCCAGAGCCACCACATTCCTTTCGATGTGTATTCCCCATTATGTACCTGCTTACTCTCTTGTAATCCTTTTCTCTCCAATCTCTCTGCTCTGCAAAGAGGGAAAAAAAGAAAACCAACAGGTCAGGCACAGGACAATGCGTACTGACTGTAATGGCGATCACATGACTAAGGGACTCTGCGAAGGTCATAAATGTGGGCATTGATCATAAAGTTATTTTTTCAGCCCTTTTGGAATTTCAAACAGTCACTGAACAAGGCAGTCAGTAAGCAAGGTCTACCTGTACATATTATTTGTTAAATAGTATATTTGTCCTTGATCTGTTAGAATTAAATACCTCTTTGTAACCTGTGTATGTCACTTATGAGTGCACAGATACATAATTTAAAATGAAGTAATTATAGTTGGATGCTGATGGCATTTTCTCAGCCATTCAGTTTGCTTTTTAATGTTTGTTTCAGTAGTAGATGGAGCTTCACCAGCTGGCAAAGCAAGTGGATGCTTGATGCTGCAGATTTATGTACAGATCGGGAGAATATTTCTGCATGGCTCTTGTCCATTCCATTGTAGCATGTGCTTAATAGCATCCCTGTTGACTAAACACTGCATGTATGAGATGAAAAGGTCTAATTTGTTTAAGCACAGAACTTTAAATTTTGTATTATATTATTTCTGCTAGTCTTTTGATTATGAAATTGTATCTAATCTTGATTTTTATGTGCCACTCAAGACCATATTCAAAACATCATCAGATTTCAAAGAATATAAAAATTAAATTTATTTTTCTTTTCCTTTTTTTGTCTTCAGAGGCTCTCCACCGACCCTTTGGTTGTGACACTGAACCACAGGCACTGAATGAAGCCATCAGGTGGAGTTCCAAGGAGAATCTTCTAGGAGCCACTGAGAGTGACCCCAATCTTTTTGTTGCACTTTATGATTTTGTAGCAAGTGGTGACAACACACTCAGCATCACCAAAGGTAAACATAATTGCCTCCTGTTTCTACATGTATCCATACAAGAGTGTGCATGTACATAGTAAGAAACAGACCTAATTTTGGTGTGCATTAATAGAAACAACAGTAATAAAATGTGCCCATTGAAAATGCTACAGTAGTAATTATTACAGGAATAGTTAAAGGGCACAGAAATGATAGGATTATCAAATGTGGGGAAATCATTGAGCGTGAGATGAACTAAATATATCTTATAACTTTTCATCGAGAAAGAGGGGTTTTGCACTTTCTTATATTCCTTAAATGTGGACTCTGAACATTTAATTTTTTTCACTTCATTTAAACAGATGAAATCAAACCAAATTAATTTATTTTCATTTGATTTAAAAATTAAACTTATCAGTCTCAAAATTTTATTTCATTAAACTGTGAAAATACTTTCTTTATCTAAAATAGTATTGCATATTGTAATTTGTAACATTGATCAGAAATAGGCAACTATTACTAAAATGTCAAAAAGATTAATTAAAAATCAGAAAGCCTTGAGTTTGTCCTGATCAGAATAGAGAATTATGTGTCAGGGATATAGAATCCCCTGAATTTCAAAATGGATTCACTGAATTTAATAGATGTATGTGATACAGCAGGGTTTGTTGCTCTCAAAATCTCTTCCCACTGCTTTCATTATCATCACAAACCTGTTTTGCCTTCAGATGACTTCAGATGCATTATGTAGGCAACAAACATGACTTATGTTAACTTTTTGCTCCAATTACAAGACATTTATAGAAATAACAACAAAATACACTTATTGTTCCATATTTTGCATTGTCAGTGCATCTGCAAGTTGGTAAATAGTTCTGGTTAATACACGTTCTCTGTTAGAAATTGAATTATTTTATTTTTGCTGTGACAGGCTGCTACTTAATTTGGTACTAGAGCATAGCTTTTTCTGTAGTAACTTCTAAGTTAAGGAATGATGCATAACAGCAGTCCTCCATCTAGATTGCTTTTGGTGACAAACCTGCTATGATTCAGCAGTAAGCTACATCGTGGTTGTGGTGCCTCTTGGCCATTCTGGCCAGACAGATATTCTTAGACCCGATGCCCTTTTCACTATGATCAACCATAGTTAATTGCTGCCTTGTGTCTCCTCTCCCCCACCCATGCTTTAAAAATATTTTTTCATTTTGGAGAAATGTGCAAAATGGCTATGCAGTTGCTAAACTTCTGATACCTAGATACTATACCAAGATAGTACTTAAGCCTCAGGTTATCTTTACATATTCCTAGGAGGGAGATTTTTAAAAATTGATTCTGTTAGAGCATTTTTGTAGTCTTTGATACTACAGGATTATAAAATATTAGAATGCAGATTTGGAGATCTTGAGAGATGGGTGTTTTGAGACTGATTGTGTGCACTGTGGTGATGATTTTGTGATTAGGCAAGTCTCCTGTGACAACCATTTTGTAAATGTGCTTATTGTAGGCTAGAAGCATTCCAAATATGACCTGGTCCAAAAAAAGTTATCTTACCCCTTTTCTATAGTGATCTGCAAGTATTCACTTTGGCTTCCTGCCACACATATAAGAGGAGGCTGTCTCAAATCCTACAAAGAGGTAGAATTCAGTATTATCTCTATCTTGGCACCCAACAATCTGTGGTTATTTCATTCAGCTAATTTTCTGTAAGGTCAGATTTTTACTTGGTCAGGTCTGGTCATATAATGTAAATTAGTATCTGGCTGAGTCCCAATGAATTTGAGATCATCAGTAGCCCTGGAGTTTGGTGCAGCTGAAAAATTCTTCTGATTTATAGAATTGAGCCTTCTCTGTAATTCAAGCATATGACTTGCATATTCCTGAATCTGCTATTCTACTTCAGTGCCCAATTTCTACTGGTCAAAATTATGATGCTTTCTCGTTCTTGTACTTTTTGATATTTCATACTTTTATAAACCTAGTACCAGATGTAGTTCACACATAATGCTAAGCAAGAATATTTTAATCTGTGTTTCAATGAACAAAGTCAGTGGCCTGGTTCATGCAGTACTAACTCATCATGAGCAGATTCATATATTGTGCTAAATTAAAATCATTTAAATACATTAGTGGTGGTATTACTAATGTACCAGGTCAGTTTTTATTGAATGAGATTACCAATTATGAATATTAAGGAAACATGTTATGCAGTATGGTGATGTGTCGTGGTGAAAATAGCAGAACAGAAACGCTATCATTTATGAGGGAATGAAGTAATACCCACAAAGAGATTGTCTGTTTCATTTGTTATTGTAAGTGATATATTGGGACATTAACATGGGACACAAAGCTATGATCCCTTTGCTTGGTTTCTAGGTGTTACTGTATGCTACATTGTCTAGTATATTTAACTTTTATGATATTCTTGTTTGTATAAATGAGACTATTTCTTATCTGGTTAGGTCAGGGTCAGCTTTAAAATAAATCCCATTTTATCTATTTGGAGTCTTCTCTTTGCTTTAGGTGAGAAGCTACGTGTATTGGGTTACAATCAAAATGGTGAATGGAGTGAGGTACGCTCCAAGAATGGGCAGGGATGGGTGCCAAGTAACTATATCACTCCAGTGAACAGCCTGGAGAAGCATTCCTGGTATCATGGACCAGTGTCACGTAGTGCAGCTGAATATCTGCTGAGCAGCCTCATTAATGGCAGCTTCCTTGTTCGAGAAAGTGAGAGCAGTCCTGGACAGCTGTCAATCTCGCTCAGGTACGAGGGACGTGTTTACCACTACAGGATCAATACCACCACAGATGGCAAGGTAAATCTTTTCTGGGAAACCTATTTTGTATAGATAGAACATATTTATATGCATATAAAGTTTGGGGCAAAGAAATCTTAAAGATACAGGTTTCATTATTTTAAGCAAATGTTTCCTGTTCTGTAACTCCATCTACTCTTGTAAGAATAAGTGCCTTCCTAGCAAGGGATGCTGTTTTGGTTGTGTTGCACAAGCAACTTGATTAGCCATTGAGCAAACATCAAGGAAGCACTGACATAATAGGCTCTGTTTTCTGTTCTCTTCATAGCAGCAGTATTCCCCCCTGCATTATCTTGCAGAAATTGAAGAAACTCATTTTGGGAGAGAAACTCTGTATCAGTTAAATCCTTATAAGATAACTAATGAGTTGTGATATATTCAGATACTGAGTCATGAAAAAGTTACTTGTGCAATAATTCAGTAAACTTTGATCTGACAAGTTTACAGCAGTGTGGTTTGCTTCTATCAATCTTGTTTTATTTGGAAACATTGTTTGAAAGTTACGTATCCCCGATAATTCTGGGAGGAAAACTGAAAGCATGGAAATTCCTATTTATAGTGGAGTCCAGTTCTTGAGGAATGAAGGTTGTTGGTCCTTATTCTTTACATAATTCCCTTGGAGGTATTAGGCAGCATCAGCTGCTAGGCATGTTACATAGAGGGACTAATATTGCCCTAAGAATCCAGTGGAGCAAGGTCAGGTAGTCACATAGTATTCCAGAAAATAATGATGATTTCCTAGTTGCTTTCTGGGCAAGCTATGTGGAATGGCCTGAGGTCACTGGAAGGCTGGAGTATCTGGAACAAACCCCAGAACTGTCCAAGCAGAAAATACAGATGAAGCAAGTGAAATATGGGAATATTGTGATTGGAAGGCTGTGTGTCATATCAGAAATAATCCATGGACTGGATTGGGAAAGTTGGATTAAGTACAATGGTTGGAAGCTTTCTGCCCAATAATTAGATCATAGCATTAAAGTACTAAGGAATACACGCATTCCCAAAAAGAGGGAAGAGAGATTAAGAGATAAATATTTATAGACAGAATAAAGGTAGAGAACTACAATCATTGGAAGCCTTCTCTATATTTCTACAGGTAGTCATCTTTCCTCTCTTTTACAGGAGAGAAAATGATAGGTTCACTGCTGACAAAGATCAAAAGACTCCCAAGGGCCTTTATAATTCCTTCTCCATTTCCAGTCCCAATATTCTCATCTTTGACTCTGCTTCTTCTGTATTTTCTGCTCTGAGGGAGTGATCTCAAGAATAAGGACTATCCCTTAACACTCGGAGAATATTTTATAAGGTTTTGTTTTGTTTTCATAAACTTTTGATTATTTTGTTTCAGGAGAATGATTTGGGGAGAAGTTTCTTTTTTTGTTCATTTTTTTCACTTCAATGCCTCTTGTTGCCAGTTTATATAAGGTCTTCATTCCCTCTTTAACAGGTGTATGTGACAGCTGAAAGTCGCTTTAACACATTGGCAGAACTAGTTCACCACCACTCAACAGTAGCTGATGGCCTAGTAACAACTTTGCACTATCCAGCACCAAAGTGCAATAAACCCACGGTCTATGGGGTGTCACCGATCCATGACAAATGGGAGATGGAAAGGACAGATATCACCATGAAGCACAAACTTGGCGGAGGACAATATGGTGAAGTGTATGTTGGAGTATGGAAGAAATACAACCTTACAGTTGCAGTGAAAACACTCAAGGTATGATTGCAGTCATGAGAGAATAGTCCCCAGTGTGGTGTTATTGAAATGTATCTGAAATATATGCTGCTATGCTTAGAGTACATGCTTGCCTGCTGATGTCCTGAATGTCAGAGATTTGTGGAAACAAAAACAAAACAAATGAACTTTGGCTGTTTAGTACAGGCAGATTTTTAAAGATCTGTCATTACAAATAGAGATTCTCTCCCTCAGTGCATTTGGGAAAGGGTAGCTATTAAAACATTTTCTTACTTTCTGTATGTTGGAAATTTCACATTCTTGGTTAAGACAACCACTGCACATATATATATATATATACAAAACATACTGTCAAAAACTTGCATCCTGCATCTCAGTTTTGCTATAGTGCTTTGCCTCATAGATGCCTATCTTGGTTCAGCTCACAGGCTTAGTCAGAGTATATATGTGCAAAAAGCATTTTCTTCGGAGATTAAACTTCCAAAAGATGTACTTTTAAGTAAAAATGAATTTCCATCACCAATCCATTTGGAAAAGCTTAGGTGTTTGTGACTAAAGTATTATTTTCTGAAATATTTAATGTAAATTCAGGGATGATGTATCTGTTTTGGGAGCATTGGCTGGTGACTTCTGGAAATACAGTGCAACAAGTAGATAGACCTTTTTGGATTTAGAAAGGTCCAGAAAATCATAATTGCAGAAGTGTTGATCTCCTGTACCTGATCTTTCCACTGTGTATTATGGTTGTGTTAGTTACCATGAAACTAAGAGCTGGGAAGTTGGATATGTACCTTGGTCTGTCATTTGCCCTCCTTGTAACAAAGTTTCTGCTCCCTAATTTTTGTGTAAATTAGTTGTGGTTATTAAGAGGAGGGATGTCTTATCACACTTCCAGGAGGATACTATGGAGGTAGAGGAATTCCTGAAAGAAGCTTCTGTTATGAAGGAAATCAAGCATCCAAATCTGGTACAGTTATTAGGTGAGCGTACAAATCTGATCACAATGTGTGTTCCTTTTTGTTTTAAATAGTTGTTGCATTTCATCTGCACAAGTAAAACAGTTGGGGCATAGTATTCACATTTTATTTACTTTGGACCAGCTTGGACAAAGCTCTAAATATGGAGAGCCTTCCTGTGATGAAATTGTGTTTGCTTATCTTGCTCATTGGGATGAGAGTTTTGTCTCCAGGCTTGCCACAGACTTGATATACTGTTTGAAAAGACTACATCTGCTTAAAGCAAATGGCATCCCACTGCAAGCTGTGCCGTTTTCGTTTCCTATATTTTATGTGAATGAGTGAATCTGTGCTTGCTGGTTTTCCTCGATCTATGGACCTGTGCAAATGTTGTCTTCAAAGCAGTTGCAGAGATGGGATTGGCAGTCAGGGCCCCATTGTTGCCAGTTCAGTCTATTTTATTTTTCAAGCTTAAAATTCATCTCTTAGTCTGCAAATGCCTAAAAGAAATGGCTTTATTAAAGTAGATTCAGAATCACAGGTAAACAAACAAAACTCCAAATTTATCCTCAACTGTTTGCAGTATACAGTGGGGCAAAAAAGTATTTAATCAGCCACCAATTGTGCAAGTTCTCCCACTTAAAAAGATGGCTGATTAAATACTTTTTTGCCCCACTGTATACTGCAAACAGTTGAGGATAAATTTGGAGTTTTGTTTGTTTACCTGTGATTCTGAATCTACTTTCATCTTTTTAAGTGGGAGAACTTGCACAATTGGTGGCTGATTAAATACTTTTTTGCCCCACTGTATACTGCAAACAGTTGAGGATAAATTTGGAGTTTTGTTTGTTTACCTGTGATTCTGAATCTACTTTCATCTTTTTAAGTGGGAGAACTTGCACAATTGGTGGCTGATTAAATACTTTTTTGCCCCACTGTATACTGCAAACAGTTGAGGATAAATTTGGAGTTTTGTTTGTTTACCTGTGATTCTGAATCTACTTTCATCTTTTTAAGTGGGAGAACTTGCACAATTGGTGGCTGATTAAATACTTTTTTGCCCCACTGTATACTGCAAACAGTTGAGGATAAATTTGGAGTTTTGTTTGTTTACCTGTGATTCTGAATCTACTTTCATCTTTTTAAGTGGGAGAACTTGCACAATTGGTGGCTGATTAAATACTTTTTTGCCCCACTGTATACTGCAAACAGTTGAGGATAAATTTGGAGTTTTGTTTGTTTACCTGTGATTCTGAATCTACTTTCATCTTTTTAAGTGGGAGAACTTGCACAATTGGTGGCTGATTAAATACTTTTTTGCCCCACTGTATACTGCAAACAGTTGAGGATAAATTTGGAGTTTTGTTTGTTTACCTGTGATTCTGAATCTACTTTCATCTTTTTAAGTGGGAGAACTTGCACAATTGGTGGCTGACTAAATACTTTTTTGCCCCACTGTATATTCCCATTTTTCTTTGTAGCCATAAGAACTAGAAGTATTTTTGTTATTATTGTTTCCAGATCATGGAATCATCTTGCTAATGGGGAAACAAAAATTGCCACAGCTCCATGTATATCAGGGATGGGCCACCTGTGATCCACAGGTGGCCCATTAGAGGCTTTGATATGGACCTTACTTTTGCTATCAAATTTGTCATTGAAATAAAGCAGTATGGTTTGTTGCTTATTTTTGGTGGCAAACAGATTTTTCTAAGTATCTCTCTTGCACTTTTTTTGGTTTTGTTTTGTTTCTAATATTTAAGCAGCAGGTTGTGGAGGAGAGATTGCTCTTACCAGAAATCTAAAATGAACTCTTGAAGAAGTTTTTTAAAATTAAGCTGAGGACCATGTGTAATTACAGGTAGTCCTTGCTTAATGTCCATTCATTCAGTAACTGGTCAAAGTTACAACGGCACTCAAAAAATGGACTTATGACAGGTCCTCAAACTTACCACCATCACAGTACCCCATGGTCATGTGATAAAAATTTGGGCCCAGCCACATTTACAACTGCCCCCCTGCCACTGCCGCTCCCCCTGCCACCACCTCCTGCTGACCTTTCTCCCTGCCCTCCTCCTTGGCATGATTGTGTTCTTGCCATGCCATGTTGCTTGGGCTTCTCACTGCACTGCAGCACTGGGGCTTTTGAAATACTGTTAATAATCTCTCTCTCTCTCTCTCCCTCCCTCCCTCCCTGCTTTTTGATCTTGTGGAAATCCTATTTTGTCAGTATTATCTGTGTGGAAATCTTTCCAGTTGAGCTGGAGAAATTTTAAAAATCATTAAAAATGGATCTCTGAAAAAATGAACCTTTTCCTCCCTTTATTTTAATGTAGAATGCCATGCTACCAGTTTTGAGAATCACTGATTAGATTTTATTGCAAAAGTGTATTTACAGAAGGATTAAAGTTTACCCAGCTCTCCTATGTTTCTTCAGGTGTGTGTACCCTAGAACCCCCCTTTTATATAGTAACAGAATATATGCCCTATGGTAATCTGCTGGACTATCTACGAGAGTGCAATCGGGAAGAAGTGACTGCTGTTGTCTTGCTATATATGGCCACCCAAATATCTTCTGCTATGGAGTATCTGGAGAAGAAGAACTTTATTCACAGGTCAGCAAAAAACCTTGACATTCAGTGAAACAGGAACATAAGAGAAATCTAAGAATGTATGTATGAATTGCATTGCATTATCTTGATGGTGAAAGTGTAATAGGATTTTTTGATTGATCAGACTTATTGCAAGCTATTTTGAATTGAAGGAAATCTCAGGAATATTGCCCTAGTTTTATAATTTTAAATTTGAGGACAAATAGCAAGTTCCTTTTCCAGAGCTTTTGAAAAAAAGCCCGGTAACATAATGTATTATATATTTGAAGGCTCAGAAGACCATGTATATGTTTTGCCCCCAAAACTGTGTCTCATCTTGACTGTGTGTTATGGCCTTTGAAGGCTACATTTTATATTCTGAACTATTTCCATGGTGGATGCAGCCTTCTGTTGGGCTAGACTACTCTGTTTTCAGAATTGGGCTAGATTTTCTATCATCGAAATTGCTACTCTGTTGATACAGGCAAGAACATGGATTTTGGATGAAAAATATTTTAGGCAAAATCAAACACATAGTCTAGATTTACTAGCTCCAAGGTTCAATTTCAAAGAAGAAAACATTATTACTTAGTAGGATTTTTTTTGCTGTACTCAGTATATTATTAAAAACCCAAACTTCCATGTGAAAATGAAATTTCTAGGTGCAAGGTTTTGGCATAAATATGAAACATTAAAAAACATACAATTTCAGTATGGTGCCTTAATGTTATCCAGTTAGGGATACTAGAAGATAAAAAAAGTTCTTAATTAGTGTAGGGATTCCCAATCTGCTTTGACCTTGATATAAGATTCCATGGACTTCATCCCCAAAATGAGTAAGAAACAGGATAAAATCTTAGAATGTAATATTTAATAGAATTAAATATAGTTCATGCAATGACCTCATATTTAATACTTTTTTTCTTCTAAAACATTAGTAGTTCAGAAGCAACTTTGGGAGACATTGTAGGAGCTGCATTGAAGACATAGGAGAGCCATATGCTTTCCATGCGCCTTTCCTTTGTGCACTCCTGCAGCAGTGCATTCAAATAGAACTAACAATACTACTACTACTACTACTATTGTTAGTACTACTAACAATAATAAGATTCTTGAGTATCAGAGTGATACAGCTGACAGAAAAAGGTTAATTTGTCCTCAGATGAAAAGGGAGGATTAAGGAAAGAAACTTCCTTTCTATTTCCTTGAGAAGAAGCCCTCCTTTTAATTTTTTAGGCTTTGACTTCTTGAGAAGAGCAGTAGTCTCCTGCTGGTTCCAGTCAATACTCCCTCAATGGCCATAATACAGTCAATACTCCCTCAACAGTCAATACTCCCTCAATGGCCATAATACAGCAGTGACAGCTCATTAATACTATGGGGCTGATCTTTGCTATAAGATTTACCGGCAGAAGCGAAGCACTTGAGAAAGGGCCTGAATAAGTGTCTCAGAGTTCATGGCTCACTCTTCTGTAGATGACCTCCAGTTTGCAACAGCCAAAATACAGGGTAGGACTGTTCACTGGGATTATGGCTTAAATCCTGGGAGGTGGACCATCAGTCTAAAGCCAGACTTGCATCCAAACTCTTCCAGGAAAGAAAGCTGTTTGACAAGTCCCTGCATTCCCTGATTTTGAGCAGGAAAAGATCTTGCCCGTGGCTCCTAAAAATAACATGAGACAGAGAAATGGTCCAACTTTTGCAATAGAGACTTGCTTTTCATTCAGAGAACAAGCATTAAAATTCCCACTGGTTCTCTGCTGGGCAAACACTGAAACATACCCTTCCAGTCCCAATGGGGGCAAATGACCTTCAGTATGACACAAAAAAGTTCCCTTTGGGTGACTACTTCCAGAAATTCTGGCATATCTGGGAAGCCAACTTAATTAGCAGTTGGGTGCCTAAAACAATCCAGCTAGGATACAACTTTTGAGAATATTATGAGTCATATTTCTATCATCCCCAGTGCATCAAGCACTTGATAAACATTAGTGGTATAAAGCAAGTACAATTGTAAGAACTGTTCTTAGGAGCCTTGTCCATTTTTATTTATTGTTTTCAAGAAAAACAGAGATTGGACAGCAGAGTTTAATCTATACAGATTGATCAAATGGTGAAAATTCAGAATGGCAACCATTCTACTAGGTGATATGTTGGCATCCATGGATTTAACATAGGCTAGCCTCCACATTCCCTTCAGACCAGTATAACAAGCTTTCCTACAACAGCACCCAGTTTCAATTCAAGGCAATACCTTTTGACCTGGAATCAGCCCACTATCTCTTCATTAAAATGATGACCACACTGTTGGCCCTTTTATAGATGAAAAGTTTGCATGTATACATTTATTTAAATTATATCCTGATTGCAACCCAATATACAGCAAACAAGGCAATATTTACAGGGACACTTTTATGGTTAACTGGACCAAAAACTCAGTTTAACGTTGTCAACAGATACTGTATTTAAGTATCTTGAAAGATGGGACAAAAAGATCAGGCTTTTCAAAGAATGGGCAGAGAAGATGTATATGGAGACAGGTTCCTGAAGTGAACACACTCAACACTTATCAAGCTGGCATGTATCCAAGATAAGCATTGCCTTGCTGGATCAGACCCCTGGCCCACCTACTCTAACAGTCTGTTCTCACAGTGACCAACCAACTGCACAAGGAAGCCAACTAGTCTCCCCACAGATGGCCTTCAAAGGCAGTCACGCTACTGTCAAGGCTAATAGCCATTGATCCCCAAGATTTCCATGAATTGGTCCAATCCTTTTTTGAAGCCAGTCAAACTGGTAGCCAGCACCACATCTTTTGATAGCAAATTCCAAAGCTAAATTATGTGTTACATAAAAAAAAATCCTTTTGTCTGTCCTGATTCTTTCAAGGTTCAATTTCATTGGTTTATTTTCATTCATGCCCTCTGTAGTGGTTCCTTCTCCCCTTCTTGTCGTTGTTTACTGACTTTTAACTCTTTCTAACCTGATGAACATCATTTTGCTAGGGATGTCTGTTGGTAACTCTTTGAGTTCTTGTGAGCGTATGCTTCTCCCATTACAGAAGCATATTGCCAGCAAAGCATTAATTTGCTTGTGTGCATAGAAAACATCTTGACAAGAGCTACAGGAATTGCCGGGGGTGGGGTGGTGGTCCAGGATGCCTCAATAAAAACTGTGAATTAAGAGCTGGCTGGAAATCCATCTCCTTTCCCTTATTATAGACTTTATAAAGAGTTCAGTGAATTGCAGAAGACTGGCTGAGCTGGCAGTTTCTGTAGCAGGGAGAATAGATGCTATACCCAGACATTTTTCTAAAGATGCTGGGGAAATGAGGTAGCATCTTCATGAGCAGTAACAATAGATATTGCCTCTGCCATTTTTAGAACAAAAGCAATAGATGTTCTGCCATCCCCATAATCTCTAGATCTGCATTGTGTCTTCCCACTAATATCAAACATTGCTAGAGTGGTCTAGAAGATAAAACTTCTCAGAAGTAAAGTCATCCTAATTGTTCTGTCCTGGCTTTAGGACTGTGGTTCTCTAATCTGGTTGAAATTGTGTATGGAACCTGCTGACATGCCTAGGTGCATTGTCAGACTAGTTCCAACTCTGCTTGGAAATTGAACAGGGATCACTGCTGGATAGCAGATTGTTGGTGCTGGTGATGGGTTGGTTTTATTTTGTTTTCTTTTTCTTGTGCCTTTGAGTCAATGTTGACTCCTGGCAACTGCCTGGACTAGTCCCTGCAGTTTTCTTGGAAAGATTTCAGAAATGGTTTGCCTTTGCCTTCTTCCTAAGGCTGAGAGAGAATGACTAGCCCGAGGTCACCCAGGTGGCTTTGTGCCTAAGGCAGGGCTAGAACTCATGGCCCCTTGGTTTCTAGCCTGGTGCCTTAACCACTACACCAAATTGTCTGTCTGTCTGCCTCCCTCTCTCTCTCTCTCTCTCTCTCTCTCTCTCTCTCTCTCACTCTCACTCTCATTTTGGTGCCTTCAAGTCAGTCTTGACTCCTGGTGACTGCTTGGACAAGTCCCTGTAATTTTCTTGGCAAGCTTTCAGAAGTGGTTTGCCATTGCCTCCTTCCTAGGGCTGAGAGAGAGGGACTGGCCTGAGGTCACCCAACTGGCTTCGTGCCTAAGGAGGGACTAGAACTCATAATCTCCCAGTTTGTACCCTGATGCCTTAACCACCACACCACACTGGCTCTCTGTTGGGTTTACTAGTTGACAATATTCTTACCTCAAGACGTGACCACCATAAGAATCTGTACCACATGACCTGGATAGTCTTCTACAACTGGCTGAAGAGACAATGATTTAAGCAGAAACAGCAAAGACTTCAGAATTATTGGGGCAGAATTGGACAAGGAGTTGGTGGTTAACATCTTATGGAAACAGACAGTTACACTATCTTTTATCATAGACTACCAGAGAGCACTCCTTTCTAATCAAATCCATGCTCATGTTTCCTGAGAGGTTCCTGACTTGTGGCCCTACTGACAGTGCACTGTTTCCTAACCTGGAACCTAACTCATGTCCTCAGGCTGTAACAATCATAATCTTCCTGATGCTCTTAACCAGAAGAACAGGACAGCCCGGACTTCATTGGTTAGAGGGAATTTGTGTGTTTTCCACCAGGATAGGATGGTCTTACAAACAAATCCCAGCTTCATTCCTAAGGTGAACTCACTCATAGGCCCAGTTTTTGCCCAAATCTATCCTACTCTAAGGAGCATACCTGATACAAGCTAGAAGCATATAGGTCACTTAGAATCTGCCTGAAACACACAACTAAGACCATCCGAAGAGTACTCATCTCTTTCAGTCTAGCGCCATCATTTCTGGTGAGCAAGAGTTGGATTTACTGTGAAGTGTCCAAATGATGGATTAGATAGCCTCACTTATCTGAAGGGGGAGAAATCTCCATAATATCTAGGACAATAGCTGGTTTATGCTTTGATGGTGGTGTTGTTTTTGGTTATATTTGCTTGGATTCAGTTAATAAAATCTATACAAATTATAAATCTATTCCGGGGGGGGGGCATTCTTTCTAAGGAACAAGACCCTGCCTTCTCATCTGAAGAGGAGTTAATCTTTTCCTGTTTGGTCCATTATTTTGTGACTAGAAGGTTAATTCATGATAGATCCAACTATCATTCTGCACTGTAAAAAGAAAACCAGTATGGAGTAGTGATTAGAGACACAATTTCAAATTCACAGTCAGCCATGGAAGCTCACTAGGTGACTTTGGGTCAGTCACTTTCTCTCAGCCCAACCTATCTTATAGATTTCTTATGGGAGAAAATTGGAGAATGGAGTGCTACATGCTTCTTTGAGCTGTAAGAAAAGTGGGATATAAATCTAGCAAATAAGTAAGCTTCTGCAAATTGATAATACCTTTTCTTAATTTTGATTGATAAGGAAATGGCTAGATGAAGTCGTAAGGAAAATAGTAAGAGTACACCGCTGGATATTATTAAATGAAAGTATTCTTGAAGAAGTATATTGTACACCAAAGTTGTGGATTCTCAGAACTGAGCCATCATCTAACTGTTGTGTGCTTCCAGATTATCTCCTTGAATCTAGGCTTAAAATGTGTGTATGCATCCACTAGCATCCTAGTTTGATATTACACAGTGTGCCTAGGCAAAGTTCTATCTGTGATGGGGAATTTAGGATAACCTTGCTGACACAGGGGTGGTAATTCTGTGGTATTTTTGCTTATATAGGGATCTAGCAGCTCGGAATTGCTTGGTGGGAGAAAATCATGTGGTGAAAGTAGCTGATTTTGGATTAAGCAGACTGATGACAGGGGACACATACACAGCTCATGCTGGAGCAAAGTTTCCTATCAAATGGACAGCACCAGAAAGTCTGGCCTATAACACATTCTCAATCAAATCAGATGTTTGGGGTAAGAGAAAAGGTTGTTTTGTACAGAGTCCTTTTATGTAAGTAAATCAGGATTATGAAGTTATATTGGGCTACTTTTATATTCTCAGGATGATATTTCTTTAGTTAAGAAGTTCAGTATACCTTAAAAAGAAGAACCAATGATGTTTAAACAATTCTTGTTTAATTTGCAGCCTTTGGAGTATTGCTGTGGGAGATTGCCACTTATGGAATGTCCCCCTATCCCGGCATTGACCTTTCTCAAGTTTATGATCTGCTGGAGAAAGGTTACAGGATGGAACAACCTGAAGGTTGCCCACCAAAGGTCTATGAACTCATGAGGGCATGTGAGTATTATGCTCTCATTTTTAGAATTCATTCAGAAGCAAATGCAGATTGGAACTAATAAAAACATGCAACAGGAAACAGAGGCCTTGGTGGCTTTCCAGGTCCATTTAGCATTTATTATTATATATAAGCCTATTGGCATACAGGCAGTTTCTTGTCAACAGAAGAACTGCTACCAGTGGACAGCTTCTGTTAAAGTTAATGGTCTGCTGAGGAGGTTGAATAAATCTTCGTGTTTTCTAATATGTATGACTGAATAGACTCAATAGAGGATCACAGTTCACAATGTCATGATTACAGAGAGAAAACCACTTAAGATCCTTTTAAAACATAGGTATGGACCCAGTCAAAAGTCTGTTGAGGGAATTTTGCTGCTCTTGCCTCCTCACTGTAGTCTGCTGTGCCCTCTTAAAAGCGAAATGTGTTTAACAGAGATTGAGGAACTCTCCTGAACAGTATATGCTCTGGTATTGGTGTCTGCAGTAAAAAGGGGAATTGCTGAATGTTGGATGGAATCCACTGACCTTCTGAATATGTTTGGGGAAAGGCTTGCAGATTTTTTCTCCAATTTTTGATTTCGATTCACTGGAACAAATGGCTTCACATGGAATTTAAAGATGCAACTGATATTTTTAATATTTGGAGACCAGCGAATGACCCAACAACAACAGCAAAATAAGTTTCTAAGGTCAACACTGGATCTAGAATTGAGGATTATCCAATAGACATCCAGGTCATGTTAAACTTCCTAAGATTAGTAAAAATCATATATGTACACTGCATTCCAAGAGGATCTGAGGTCAAAAAACAAGATCCAGGAGTACATATTTGTGTGCATATGTGTATGTGTGTACACATGTGCATGCACAAACACATGCACACTGACAGATCATAGAAGAAATAATAGTGTATATATGAGCTTCATGAATAGTGCAAAGTTAAAATTCATGTGTGGAATTAAGAAAGGATTGCAGATGTCAAATACTATATTTATTTATTGCGCAATAAAGGTATATCTTCTCATCCAAAGGAATTTACATGACTTGTAGCACAAAGTATTTTATTTGAATATCAAAATGTAATTACAAATTTTTAAAAAACTAATAAATAGAAAAATACACAAAAATAAATATGACTATGTTAAAATTATAACTGCACCATATCCAAAGGAGAGGAGCAATCCCAGTGTAAAAAGTAGAAATAGAAAAAAAATAGCCTTTGGCCCATATCAAAAACAGATTTTAATTTAGAATTTAAAGGGTCTTAGAATTGGGAAAGAGTTCTACAACATCTAGGCAGCCCAATTTTTGCATGTGCTAATCATTCTTTAAATGGTAAAGAAAGCTGGATCAGTTTCTGAGTTAATACACAAGAGAAACTTTGGGAGAAATACATAGCTTTAGACATGCCATTCTAAATATGACAAACCATTTAGGGATTTACTTAAGAATCAATCCTTCAGATTAGACGTGGAAGTTAAAAAATAAGTACAGTATTATTAATTTGATAGATCTACTTCAGGCAATGGCCTTCTGTGCCAGTTGAAATTTTCAGACATATTGATTTAGTCAAGAAATTAACTAGAATGTAAATGGCATAGACTAAATCATGTCTTTAAGTAAGTTTATAAATTGTTGGTATCACAAGTACTACTTTTAAGGTAGAACAAAATGATATCCCAAGAATGTAGGATATCCTTTTGTTCTACCTTAAAAGGTAATTAGTTTTAAAAAGTACTAAAAACAGCTGATAAATCAACCAGGCAATTAGATTTTCTATTTGACAAGGGGAAAAAAAGGTAAAGTTAAAGCACCTGGATTATTTTGTTCAGAAAAAAGACCAAGAAGTTATTAGAAATGGCATAGAAAAGTTCCAAAATGTTTCAATTTCCCATTTACTGCTATGAAAAGAAATTCATGAAGAGTCAAAGTAGATGAAGGAATATTGTTTTGTCATGTAGCAGTTTAGTGTTGTCCTGACCAATAGCTTACCTGATTTTAATTGGGTTTAGGCAAGTACATGGAGAATGGGCTGCTATTATTCATCATAAATAAATGAAAACTTCAGTATCATGAATACCAGACATTTGGGGTAAACAAAAGATTTTTACTTTGAGCCCCTTTATCTGGGCATCCCAAAAATATCTGGCTGATCAATACTGGAAAGAGAATGCCAGACCACACAACTACATCAAGGCAGTTCTTACATTCAGAAATGCTGGCAGTAATTCTGAGACCTTTGAAAATAGAATAGATCATGACAAGGACCTTAAAAACATTGCCAATAACAGGTTACGGTGGAAGATGCTCTTGCTCCAGAATAGTGGGATTTAGATTGCAAATTCTAATGGAGATAGTATTTCCCTGCTGCTTTTATTATATTGTAGGCTGGAAATGGAGTCCCCTAGATAGACCTTCATTTGCTGAGACTCACCAAGCTTTTGAAACCATGTTTCATGATTCTAGCATCTCTGAAGGTAAGGACCAGTTTGTTACCTTATTCTGAACTTTCTATTATACTTTTGAAATAAGCTTTTTTTTTTTTTTTTTTTTTGGTTTCCCCAATCTAATCAATAAAAATAGTTTGGGTACCTTTTGTTAAAAAGGCTATTGGATTTCGACTACAAAAAGGATATTCTGGACATTTGTCCAATTCAGACCTATACTAAACTGTATTTTAGCATTATAAAGTTGAGCAACTAACTCTGAAATACTCCCACTTTTGCCTTTAACGGATGAGGAAAGAGATTTTAAATCTTGTGTTTACTTTTGTGAATGAATAGCTGTTTTCCATTATAACTAAATATGGGAAATATGGGCTTCAGTTTTGATTCAGTTTGGACTGAATTGACAATAATTTGAACAAACTGCTCCTATTTGAACATAAAAGGAAAGATGCTAACTTGTCTTTCCTCATCTGTTAATTGTGGGGGGGAAATATGCAAGCCCAAAGCATGTGCTCATTTATGCTAATAAATATGCATTTTTGTCTATATTTTTCTCAAAGCATGCAGTTTGTGTCTGTGGTTTTTTAATTAAACAGCTGTAATGCAAAATTATCCAATCCATTTTCAGTGCATACAACTAATTGTTCACTTACTAATTTGAGAAGAATGGATTAAGTTAGTCTTATTAAATTGTTGAATCAAATTCTTTCCCCTAGTTCAGGGTGGGGAAACTATGACCATCTAAATGTTGCTGAATTACAAGCTGCAGCATTCTTTAATCTTGACCATTCTGACTGAGCCATACAAGGTTGTAGTTCACAGCTCTTGAGAGGCTATAGATTTCCTTTTTCTCCCTAGCTCATCCATACCATTAAATCATGATTTACCAATGTATGTCTGAACTGATCCATAATCAGATATCTTGATGTGGTATAGTTTACGATAACCACAACCTTTCTTCATTTCAGATACATTGCTTGTCATTTCTCTGACAAGTTGAAACTGGCTTTCTAGTTATGCTACCACTGTTGGAAGGAATTTGTTGGGTCTCTGTTCTGAGAAAAACTCACTGATCCTGATTGTGGATCAGTATCCAGATTGGAACATAGTTCTCCATGGAAAATCTACCTCGAATCATGGAGATGGATAGGACTCTTTAGGCCTTTGAGTCCAACCCCCTGTTCAGCCTAGTTTCATTTTAAATAAAGTAACTTTTATGTGCCATTGTAATGCCCTTCTCTGTATCCGTTCCCATATGAAGTTCTGGAAAGAGAAACAGCTGCTCAGATGAGTCACAGTTAGGCGCTATGTTCTTGCTTCTGCACATTCTAAAACATTTCTTTCAAATAAAATTCAAGGCATTCCATAGCTCTATTGTTTGATTCTTTAGAAGCCATATTTCAGAACTGTTAGACTCCGAAGGATAGTCTGTTGCTGACTAGCTGCCAGCAGGACCTACAATATAGTAATTTATTGCTACTTTGGCATTTTGAAATCCTTAAAACTATTTCATTATGCAACTGAATATAGAAACTTCACAGTATCACCTCTTCTTGTTAGCACCAGCTCTTGCTTTCCCTTTTCTTTGCTGCTCTGTGTTTCAGTGGGGCAACAGTTACAGAGAACTCTAGAAGAGACAAATTACCTAGACCTGTGGCAATCAGAATTCAGATCTGGGCATAGAATTGAAAACATATTAATCATATATGACTTGTGGTGAGACTTGGATGGAGGGAGTGTGGCCATCCTTGTCTAGACCCCTTGGGAGTATTTGATACAGTGTGATACCTTCTGGACCACCTACTTTATTTATTACATTTATATTCTGCCTCAATCAAATATGATCCCTATCTATGAGAGTTGGTAGTTGAAGTAACTATATCACAGGTAGTCCTCGACTTATAACCATTCATTCGTGACCGTTTGAAGTTACGATGGTGCTGAATGAAGGGACTTACGACCTGTGCCCGAAGTTATGGCTGTTACAGCACTCCCCACAGTCACATGATCAAAATTTGTGCACCGGCAACCCGCCTGCACTTACAATCGCACAGGTGCTTCAGCTCCCCCCACCTGCCTATCTCCTCCCCATCTATGCCCTCTTGGCCACCCTGCACCCTGCCTTGCAAGGCGGCAAGCAGTGCCAGAACCATGCAGCTCTGGGACTGCAAGAAGCCCCTGAGCTGTAGCACAGCACAAAGCTGCAGCCACCTCAGCCCAGCCACATGAAGCCACCCCAGGAAGTATTCATTTGCCCAGCTGCTTTCTCTCCCAGTTCCCTGGACCAACCTTTCACCTTTTGCATCCAGCTCCCATGGCTGAAGCAGAAGTGCCTCACTGCCTTTGCTGTTTCCTTTTCAGACCCAACTTGTCCAGAGAACTTTTCCTCCACGTGGTTCCCTGAGCCTTCAGAAAACTACACTTTGTAAAGCTGCACTGACTTCGAAGAGACTTCAGAAAGGTAGTGTAGCTTTCCAAAGGTTCAGGGAGCCACGTGGAGGAAAAGTTCCCTGGAGAAGCTGGGTCCAAAAAGGAGAGAGCAAAGGCAGCAAGGTGCTTCTGCTTCGGCCGTGGGGGCTGGGTGCAAAAGATGAAAAATTGGTCCAGGGAACTGGGAGAGAAGGCAGCTGGGCGAAAGAATACTTCCTGGGGCGGCTTGATGTGGCTGGGCTGGGGCAGCTGGAGCTTTCTGGGGTGGCTTCGCACATCTGGGCTGGGGCAGCTGCAGCTTCATGGTGTGCTACAGCTCAGGGGTTTCTTGCAGTCCCAGAGCTGTATGGTTCTGGGGCTGCTTGTTGCCCTGCAAGGCAGGGTGCAGGGCAGCCAAAAGGACAGAGATGAGGGGAAATAGGTAGGTGGGTGGGGGAGTTGGAGGCAGTCCCTTACCTCACTGAGGCTCGGGGCTGGAAGGGACCAAGCCTGGAATTGCTTGGATTGGGGTGGGTCCTTGGCTAATGACTGGTGAAATTTGCTTAATGACAGCGAGGAGAATTGCTGGGATTGCAGTCCCTAAGCAATACAGTCGGGTAACATCTTGCTTTATGGCCGCATTGCTTAGCAATAGAAATTCCAGTCCCAATTGTGTCGTCAGTCAAGGACTACCTGTATGGTGGTTCTGTTCCTTCCTGAGTGGGAGGGTCCAGTTAATTGTTGCAGGATGGGTGGAGAGTTCTGGCCCTCGTGCATTCCATTATGGGCTGCCTCAGGGCTTAGTCTTGTTGAACATCTATATGAAGCCACTGGGAGAAGTCTTCCACCAGTTCAGGGTGAAGTGCCATCAGTATGCAGTATAATACCTAGTTGTGCATCTCTGTCTGGCCAAATGAGGGTTGCAGTGGAAGCCTTGATCCATCATCTTGGCTGTCAGAGTCTGGATGTGGAAGAACAGATTCAGGCTCAACCCTAGCAAGAGAGAGTGGGTATTCATTTAGAAGCCCACTGATTCTGTTCTGATATACTAATTGTACTATTTTTGACTCTCAGTGAGATTATGCTCCCCCATTGGGAGCAACCCTTCAAAGTCCTCCTGAACTCACAGCTCCTACTGGAACAGCAGATGGAGACTGTGACCAGGAGGGCCTTTGTCGACCTTTGACTATTGGAATTAAATTGGTCTTACCTAGATGGGGGCACTGAAGATAGTCACTCATATTCTTGCCATCTCCCATATAGATTATTGTACTTTGCTTTATGCGGGTCTATTCTTGAACACTATCCAGAAACTTCAATTGAACAGTCTCAATATTGCTATATAATACCATTGCTGCAGGAGCTGCACTGGCTAACAATATGTTTCCAAATGCATTTCAAGGTGCCAGTCATTATCTATAAAGCCCTATGTGGCTTGGGTATCTTCAAGTCCACTTATCCTTTATAGATCTGCCCATCAAATTTGAGGGCTTGGAGAATGTGTGCTGAAGATCCAACCTATTGAAAGGTGCAATGGGAAGGGCCCTCAAAGCAGGCATTCTCTGTAAGAGCTCCATGCCTTTGGAATAGGTTGCTCCCTGAGGCAACAGCAGCAGCTCACGGCATTCCAAAAACTTGTAAAAATGTGGCTGTTTCAAAAGGGATTTCTGTGCCAGCAATGTTTTAATCACTTCCATGATTAACTCTAAACTTTTGACTACAATCATGTATCATGTTGGTTTTGTTGTACACCATTGTATTTTATTGTTGGATTGACTGCAGTTGATGCTCCTGTTGCTTAGACTTGGTTGACTGAAGCAGTCTATAATTAATTAATACAAATTATTTCATTGATGTTTATTACAGAAGTGGCAGAAGAACTTGGAAGGACTGCATCCTCTTCTTCTGTAGTTCCATATTTGCCCCGATTACCTATACTTCCTTCCAAGACTAGGACCTTAAAAAAACAAGCAGAAAACAAAGAGAATATTGAAGGAGCTCAGGAGACCATAGAGCATTCTGCATCCAGTTCTGCTCCAGGTACGTTATTTAAGTGGTCCAGACTCTGGCCCTGGAAAACTGTGTTTCAAAGAAAGGGAAAAAAGTGTGAAAAATTAGATTACCTCTAACATTGCAGCACATGATTTCTCATCTTCTCCAAATTCTTCTCTTCAAATCTAATGTGGAGGATGCCCCAATCTTCTGGAACAGGATTAAAGATCTGTAAGTAATTAAAATGGGAGATTACATTTATTCTGCTGGTGAATAAATATGAAAGATGGATATATCCCTCTGTGTTTATGAATGATGAATGAAGGAATATATCTGGCCAGCTATTTAGGTTATGTATTGGACCAGTTTGAATGTGTGACTATGATGGAAAGGAGAGCTATTCTTGAGTAGATGTGTAATCAGCACTATATTTTTCAGAAAGCAAAAATCAAATGGGATGGAGACTGCAGCAAGCAGATTTTCTTTGATAAATCGCAACTGAAAACAAACTGGAGCTCTTAAATGAATCTGATTTCTGTAATGTATGAAAAGTAATTACATAGTAAAACTTTTCTCCTAAAATAAGACAATTATGGATTAACTGAGTTACTTTTCTTGCTAAGAATGCGGTCATACCTATAATGAAATAGAAGAAATTTAAGCAACATAATATGGAGAAATTTTCTCATTTGTGTAATATGCCAGAGAATGTGTGAAATCAGTATATATCACTGTAATCAAGGTAAGGATTGAGGACTAGGAAATTAAAACTAAGGAAGGGCTGCGTGAAGTATCAGCAATGTAGCAATGACTGGGTCTCTTGCCCTTCCATCTGATTCTTGAGAGGAAGGAGAAGCCTTTTAAATATGCTTTCCCTCATAGCAAAGAGACTCAAGGTTTCTAAGCCTTCAGTGCCAGTTACCAGTTCCTCTGCCTTTGCTATGCAAAAAGAATAATTCTGAAGACCATCCCCATTCTTCCAGTGTACTGATATCCAAGTACAATATCAGTACTTCTCTGATGAACAGCAAGGCTGTTTCCTCTCCCTTCAGTGTGAAGGAGGCACAAAGTTACTGTATCACCATGAGCAACGAACTTTTCTGTTCCTTTATCTAGGTTTTATTAGAAGCACACAGCAGACCAGTGGATCCCCAGCACTACCTCGCAAGCAGAGAGACAAGTCGCCTAGTGGCCTGTTAGAAGACACTAGAGAAACAACCTTTACCAGAGACAGAAAAGGTGGTTTCTTTAGCTCCTTTATGAAAAAGAAAAATGCCCCTACGCCTCCCAAACGCAGCAGTTCCTTCCGTGAAATGGAAAACCAGGCTCACAAGAAGTATGAATTAACGGGTAACTTTTCTGCGGTTGGTCCATTGCAGCATATTGATGGATTTTCATTTACTCCCTCCCAGCAGGATGGAAATCTTTGCTTATCCAAGTGTTATATTGGGAGCTTTGCACAGCGGAACCTCTATGGGGAAGATGGTGGTGGCAGCAGCAGTGGGGGCACAAGCATTGGTAGTGGTTGGTCAGGCATCACAGGCTTTTTTACACCACGCCTGATTAAAAAGACATTGGGCTTACGAGCTGGGAGGCCCACTGGAGGTGATGAAGCTTCAAAACCTTTTCCTCGATCAAACTCCACATCTTCCATGTCCGCAAGTCTTCCTGAGCAGGAGAGAATGGCAATGACTCTTCCCCGAAATTGCCACAGGTCCAAAGTTCAACTGGAAAGGACAATATCCACTTCCTCTGAGCCTGAGGAGAACACAGACAAGTCCAGTGATTTTCTCCCTAAAAGGTGTGAAGAAATTCATACGTTGACCAGAAGCCGACCAAAAACTAAACTTCTGCCAAGGGGTGCTACAGCTGTTCCTCTCAGGACACCTTCGGTGGACACATCTGTTTCAGAGAAGGATTGTCAAGGGCCAACAGCAGCAGCAAGCCTGAAAAGCAAGGAGAAAAACAGTGCGATACGACAGGGTTCAGTAGAAGGGGAAGAAAAACCAGGCTGGCCTTCTCCAGCCAAGGCTGCAGCAATACTTCCAACCACTCATAATCACAAAGTGCCCGTTCTCATCTCACCTACTCTAAAGCATACACCAGCTGATGTGCAGCTCATTGGCACAGACTCTCAGGGGAATCGGTTCAAGCTCTTATCTGAGCATCAGGGCACTGCTTCTAGTGACAGGGATAGACCCAGACGGATAAAACCAAAGTGTGCTCCACCTCCGCCACCACCTCCACCACCACAAGCAGTCATGAGGCTCCTTCATCAGCCTCCAGGTTCCTCAGATACAGTAGATGAGTTGGATAATGGAGCATTGGTACAGCATGGCCAAGATAGCGAGGGCAGCAAAAAGGCAGTAGTGGCACCTGCTAGTGGAAAAGCTGGAAGGCCAGTAATACCTCCACCTCAAGTGCCTTTGCCATTGTCTTCTTCACCTGCTAAAATGGCAAATGGCACAGCAGGAGCTAAAGTTGCGCTGAGAAAGACCAAACAGACAGCTGAGAGAATCTCAGCAGACAAAATCAGCAAAGAGGCACTTCTGGAATGTGCAGACCTCCTCTCCAGTGCCATTGCAGAGCCTACCACAAATAGCCAGCTGGTGGATACTGGGCACCAACTATTAGATTACTGTTCAGGTTATGTGGATTGCATCCCCCAAACGCGCAACAAGTTTGCCTTCCGGGAAGCTGTAAGCAAACTGGAACTTAGCCTGCAAGAACTGCAGGTGTCGTCAATGGCTGCTAATCTGCCCGGAGCAAATCCTGTACTTAATAACTTATTGTCTTGTGTTCAAGAAATCAGTGATGTTGTTCAGAGGTAGCTACTGTCAAATCATCTGGTTAGGAGGAAAAAAGTTCACAAAATTGAGAGAAGAGTCAGGGTGACTTCTTCTAATCATTTTTTTCCTATGTTAATGTTTTGAAAGAAGAGACTGATACTTGAGTAAGTTTTATGTGAAGTACCTCAGATCACTGAGCTCACATGTTTACAGGTTCATCTCAGTACATGGGGCAGATAAGAGGGAAGCTAAGCTTCACGGGGGTCAGATGACTGCAGCTGAGATGGGCAGAATATTGAGAATTTGCCCTGGTGAGAAAATGTATTTGTAAAAATAGAGCTTGTGCTCTTATTCCACTTCTGGGAGGAAGGAGATTCCATGAAGGTACCTTTGTTCTGATAAGGTATTTTGTTCTCTTTGATGCTGTCCAGTTGATTAGAATTACTGGAAAAGAGATAAGATTCCTTTTCTGCACTACTATGTGTTTTAACCTTCTGAGATCATGGCAGAAAGGTTTAGAGGTGCCATCGAGTAGATCTTTCCAAGAAAGAGGATAATTTTGAGGGAAAGTCTGTTATATTTAAAAAAAAATGGATTGGCGCTGCAGGAAGTGCATGCACTAGCCTGTCTGGTAGACCTTCCGCAGTACAATTTGCTGCTGTAATCGGAGATGCAAAAAAGTAAAGACAAGAGCTGAAATATGAAATGCATCCCCTTTTATCATCCCCATCTCATATTTATCACTCACACATTCACTCTATCACAGCATCTTGAATGACAGTTTAAGCAGACTTGCCACTGGATTTCCCACAATCACACCCTACACTCAAACTGCTGTCATCACCATGTTGGTAGCATAGCATGGTTAGCTAACCAATGGCAATCACTTGAGTGCTTTGGGGAATAGCACGCCTCAAGAATCTGTTACTTTGTCTCTGGTTTTGAACTTTGGTACAGTGGTGGCTTTGCTATATCTTTAGGAGCCCTTCTGGATTAAAAACACTGCAGAATGCTGCTGGTGTTCTCTACATTCCTTTTTTAATTGTGCTTACCTTAATGTCATTTCTTCTTGAGGGAACTAGAGACCTGAGGCCTTCATATTTTCTAGTAGAATTATAAATGGGCTCTTGGAGTACCAATTCAGGTGTATTGCTGATATATATTCTTTGTTTAGAGTTTTGCTTTATTTGTAGTTTCAAGACACTGGCTGCACATGGATTCATTGTAAGTGATTAGTCTGTACAAACATGCTGCCATCTCCCTTCAGGTAGTGCAGTTCCAACACCGACCCATCTCTGAAAGTCATCATGCTATGGGACCACTACTTCCAAAAATCCACTGATACTAACTAAAGAAAATTGGTTTCTTCTGTGATTAATGTGACCTCAAACTAGCAATTGCACAACATGTTTGCTCTTAAAAGACAGAGAAATCAGGCTGTATGCTTCCATGAAACCTTTTTTGTTTACCCCAGATCCCCTGAACTCACTCTATTTACCAAAATTCAGCAAGAAACTGTTGAAAAATGGAGCTGTAGTTTCCCACTATTTTTTTGTCAAGAAACAAAATAAGGTAGGTATATGATATTTGGGAAGGATTAATGCAAAGAAATAGTGGAAACCCCATCTGAAACGCCTTGAAAATTCCCCACATACCATTGTGATTCTGTTCTCTTTTGTTCTCTGTAGCCTTTAGCCACCAATAAATAGTTATGGTATGGCCTCAGTCACAGGTGGGTTGTTCGTTCTTGCCTTAAACCATAGATGGAAGGTTTTCTGGCCACACTGTTTGGAGAAGGAAACTGAAGGCACATTTATGCTAACCAGAGTGCTGCCATTTTTGAGTTTTCCAGAAATTACACTGAATATGTAGCATTATTAAAGAGGGAAAACCCCACAGAATGAAAACACATTTGGGGTCCAGTTCTGATTCAGAGCAATAACAGTCTTCACATGGTGGAGAACAAGCAGGCTCTGCAGTGTTTCAGATTCAAAGGGGAAAAATGCTTCAGAGTATCCAAGGGTATTGACAATTTCTTAAACCCAGTTTGTCTTTTCCTGGGATTGTGCAACAGCTGACACCCTAGTATGCAGATATTTTAAGTAGTTTTCAACAGGTGCTATGTGATTGCCCCCCCCCAATCATTTTTCCCCTTTGAATCCAAACTGCTACACAGCCTTAGAGAACAGTACATGCTGCAGATGTCCAGTTTACACCTTTTTCCATTTTTGAGCAGGAAAAATTGGGTATCCATATGTATGCCTACAGTAATATGACGTTGATATAGGAGGATATAGGGTACCCACTCTTACAATGCAGACAGTTTTTTTCTTGATGGCTTTTGGAGTCAGCCTCAGTTGACCATCCTGTCTTCAGTTCCTTTTCTGTTTCCTGAGAGAATTCTGGATTTGGGCTATTCATATATTATTTACATGTTGGGCAATAGTTTATATAGTATGTTTAAGTTTGCCGTATGCTGTTCTTAATACAAAATCTGTATTAAAAATGCAAGGGCATGCAACTTCATATTAGTCTGGGACAGTTCATAAAAAACTTTCCCACACAGAGCTCACAGAAGTTACTGTTCCAACATAAATTGACTTTGTTCTGATAAGTAACAAATAGCTTAAATATGGGATGGGGAAAATCTGCTTGTTCTTCTGACATTGCATGCACACACACACCCTCCCAGTGTGTACTGTAGTTCATATCTGGAAGCTGCAGGCCCCTCTTGCACCAGACTGTTAAAAAATCAGCCTGTTTATCATAGAATTTACATTATATAATTGGAAGAGTTTATCTAGACCATTGAGTCCAATCTCCTGTTTGATACAGGAATCCAAATAAAGCATCCTTGACAAATGTCTGTCCAGCTTCTACTAGAAGACTTCTAGTGAAGGGAAAGTCTACTCTCTCACAATAATTGTTTTGACTGGTGAACTGGTCTTCCTATCTGGAAGTTATTCTAACATTCAGCAAGAATATGGCTTGCTGAAAATTTTTCTGTGCCCTGGTATTTGTTCCCCTCTGAGGAAGTTCGTACTTACAACTGCTTGTAGCATCCCACAGTCACGTGATCACCATTTGAAACCTTCCCTGCTGGCTTCTCACAAGCATAGTCAATGGGGAAGCCGGCAGAGGAGGTTGCAAGTCACTTGGGTAAATCTCCCCCACCTACTCCAGCCTTTCTTTGCTCGCTCACTCACACTCCACCCTCCTTCCCCCCTTTGCTCGCTCACACGAACCCACCAGTTTTGGGTAAATAAGGAAAACGTTTGAGAAGCACTGACATAAGCAAATGACACTGAGGATTAAGGTTGATATTAATGTGCATGATAATTAAGAGAAAAGTGGGGAGTGTTCCTTCCCTGTTATATTGTGATCCATTCTAGCTTTCTGCAGGTCAGGCTCCCTCCCAAAATTATGCGCACACAATCTGGTGTGTGAGTGGATTCATAATGCAAAACTCATTTTGTAGCTGAAATTAATTCAGATCATTCTTTGCACTGATTCACTCCTTGGATAAGTGAAGTAGAAATTAGTATCTGGCTAAGTCCAAACAACTAAATTAACTACTTTCCTCCTCATTGAATAGAATGCTGTGTTAACTTACAAGTGACCTAATCTCATGGGGAACTTGTGGCCCTGCTCATCTAGAATTGTCATCTCCATGACCAATAGGGCTGATGAAATTTAGAATCCCAGTAACACCTGAAGGACTAAATATTTTCAGTCTTGCAGTATATTAACTGAAAGTTTAGTAATAAATGACAGAAAATAAACACCAGGGTCAAGAAATTTGGTAACAAGAAGGAAATGGACATTACTCCATTTAAACATGAAGCTAATTATAATTAAATGGTTATGATTGTGAAACAGTTTTACTTCTTTTTCCATCTCAACTGCCATGCAGTTTAAGGCCACGTTTGCCAAGTATCAAAATCTAGCCAGAGACAGTTGAGTTCCAACTCTGTAGGTGGATGTATTGTTGAAGGCTTTCACGGCCAGCATACGATGGCTGATGTGGGTCTTCCGGGCTGTGTGGCCGTGTTCTGGCAGTTTTGTTTCCTAACGTTTCGCCCTGGGCACAGAGAGAACTGCTCCTGTCTGTGCTCCTGCACTCTGAAGATGCCGGT